AAATTTACAAAATGCTGTAACGTGAATGCAACAAGAAAGCTTTTCTACACTTATAGATTTGCATGAGGTGATATCTGAAATAAAAACAGAGAGACTTACAAAGATGAATACAATTTCAATCCGATATATAATTCACTAACGATAGCTGCAAAAACAAACGCTCACGACTACATTAGAACATAGATCGGACAATCACAGTGAGCATATTCTCAATAAATATGAATTCAACTTTATTAAAGCTGTTGTGTCGAGCCATATTTTCATTCCTTGTAGTCAGAACTGTCCTTCATGTGTCTCGATCCAGTTCCGCCACATTCTGCGTCTCCCTGCAAAATACTATCTTGAATTCTTAAATTTTTGCATTCCTTAAAGGGGAAAACAACCGAAAAGCGCACCAATTCGTCAACAGCTCCTCTTCCGCGACCTTTTCTTGCAAATTCCGTACTATCATAGGGTTGTGATTTGGGCCGGCCGACCTGAAAGAGCATGAATTATTATCGGCTTTTGCGCAGAATGCGGTTAGCCATCTATGAAACTTACGTTTCCATCTGGATAGTCTCCAAAGAGAGTTTCGGTCTCTTTGCTTCCTATGTTAGCCACCTAAACCAGAAGGAATGAAGAAATATTGTTGCCACATTATTATGCTTCGCTCAAATAGAAGACTTGGGAAATTTTAATTTTAAACTAACCCTGTCATAGACGGCTTTCAATTTGCCTGTCATTCCCTTCCCCGCTGCATTCACTTCTTCCTTGACTGCTTCCGCCGCCCCTAATGGTCTGCCTCTTGCGTCATTGAGGTGAACATACTGTGGAACTGCAGTGTGAATATCGCGCGCTTCAGATACCAACAGTCTTCGGCAGTTTCCGAAAAGGGCTGCTGTTTTGTGGCTCATCTTGGTAGAGTTATCCCTACAAATACAAATAAATCAATCGGATTTTACATAACATCGTCACGGTAGAGACGCATAGAGAAAAGGGCTTGAAAGAAGAATGTGAGCAGCGGGCTGAATCGCATCGACTGCTCGGAATTTGCTGGGCGTCGTGTTTACCAGACGTTCGTGCTGACTACGTCTAATGCTATGGCGGGCGTTCTAACGACGAACTCTGCGCCGATGATCTATGGTATTGAAGGAAAGTGCAATTTTGAAATGAATGACAAGTCAATACGATCGGATGTCGATCACGACTGAAGTGGCAGAGCAGGAACCTTGCAATATAAGAAGACATGGAAAAAAATTTCGTACAGAATTTTAATGCTAGCATACACGAGGTGCTTCCCAGGTGAATCCTCCTCCCATCTACACGATTTGCGTCACATTATACCAAGATGGATACAAATTTTCATATGAGAGTGTGACAGGTCAGGTGCCAGCTAATATTAGTCCCTAGGAAGTTTGTAATACCTGCATAATCCTTGATTACTATTCATGATGAGTGGGTGCTCAATTTTCTTAGTTGAGCGCTTTTAAATAATTAGTTTTTGACGTGGAGGTATGACCTGCAATGCTAGACGCACGAGAAATCCTAACATCGACCCAAAAATGAGCATGGCAAGCACCACAGTAGTGAAGGTAAGCTTGGATTGAAGCATATCTTTCCATTACGTTTTGTAACAAAAAATGAGTAAACACTGAGCTGGACTATATCCTGATTGCCTTTCAACCTTTCAGGACATTGTGTCTAGTCATTAAACAGTTTTATGAAGTACTACTGACGTTCTTCAGCTCATCGTAAACATTTCGGAATGTCGAGGATGATTTTGGATGCACTTATTAATTTATTGCATATCTGAGGGAGGCTACAAAATTT